AGGACAGCCTGGGCTAGCAAGACTTTGCTTCACAGAAAAAGTGATAATCCCACCCTCTAAGGTAGGTTAGTCATTTCTGCATTTATCCATTTACACAATAGCTGTCTTAGTCAATGTCCTGTTATTCTGAAGAGACACCATGACCATGGCAACTCTTATAAAGGAAAACATTTCATTGGGGCTGACTTACAGTTTCTGAGGTTCAGTCCGTTATTGTCACGGTGGGAAGCATGGAGACACCCAGCAGATGCAGTGCTAGAGAAGAAGCTGAGAGTTCTACATCTAGATCAACAGGCAGCAGGAAGAGAGAGACACCGGACCCCCAGCTTGAGCATTTGAAACCTCAAAATCCACCCCTAGTGACACACTTCCTCCAACAAGGCCACACCTCCCAACAGCACCACTCCCTGACGACTAAGCACTCCGCTCTCTGAGCCTACGAGGGCCATTCTTATTCAAACCATCTCGGCAGCCTTGGGATGGTGTTGAATAGTGGTGGAAAGGGGTACCAGGAATGTGTAGGGGGCTAGTAATGGTTTTGTTTTTGAAGCAGTAGCATGTATTTCTGGCTTGCCCGGGATGCTCTTGAACTTCAGAACCTCCTTACTTCCCAAGTGCTGGCATTAGAGGCATCACCAGGAGAGGGCACTAGGGATGAACTCAGAGCCTCACGCATGCTAGGTGAGCTCTCTCCCAACTGAACTACGTTCTCACCTTGGAACTGGCAATGCTTTGGATTGTTTGTTTGTCTGTTGTTTGTTTGTTTTTCTCTCTTCTGGTCTCCATGAGCACCAGACACTCACTCACATTGGTGTACATACATGAATACAGGCCAGAGAAAGGGTTATGACATCAATCATGCTAAAAATGTGGACGAATTCATTCGCAAAAGTCACCCATGACGTAATTCCATTTGCATGAAATGTCCAGACTAGGCAAAGACACAGAGACAGAAACGTTGTGGGATATTTACCAGAGAAGACTGCTCACACATGGACTTAAGCCAACAGAAAGTCTTTATTAGCCAGCCAGCAACTACGCTGGGTGTTTGGGATCACAGCGTAGCCCTGAGCCTTTCTCAGGATGAGCTTTTAAGCACAAACATATGGGTTGACATCACTCAGTTAACAAGAACAGTTAGCCAGAATCAGAACTACAGAGCCAAAAGCAAGGTTGGTACATTTAGAGACTTTCACAGAGCTTTGGTAGGTTAGGTTTCTGTTTTCATTTTTGGCAGGCGGTGCTGTCTATGTGCTGAGTTTTACAGTGTGAATGGTACTTCCCTCACGGAGTCAGTCATGCTATGGTCTGTGGGCCCACTAAGTCTGGGACCCTGTCACAGAGTGACTACTCTAGGCACAGAACTTTTTAGGCTTACACCTCTTTTTAGGGTAAAGGAGTTGATTGTAGTTATATAGACATGCCGTTCCACCCGTGTTAGCAAAACCCAATGAATTACGCAATTTAAATTGATGAAGTGTATGGTGTGGGGTATTAATTATATCTTAACAAAGTTTGTACATAGGGTGAACAAGATGACCCAGTGGGTAAAGACCTCCCTGTCTTGCCTGATGACCTGAATTTGATGCCCAGGCTTAATATGGTCAAAGAAGAGAACTCACCTTCCCAAGTGCTCTTACCCACTGGGCCGTTTCTCCAGCCCCTTGGGTTTTCTGTTTGTTTGTTTGTTTGTTTGTTTGTTTTGGGGACGGGTCATACTTTGCTGCTCTGACCTGGGACTCGCTATACAGACCAAGCTTGAACTCACAGATAGCTAACAATCTGTCTCTTGCCTCTGAGTGCTGGGATTACCATACCTGGCTTCCTCTGTCTCATGGATCTCAGGTTGTCTCAGACTCACCATGTAGTTGAGAATGACCTTGAGTTTCTGATTCTCCTCCCTCCACCTGCGTATACCAGGTTTATGAGGCACTGAGAATGGAACCCAGGGATTCAAGCTTGCTGGGCAAGGACGCGCCAACCAAGCCACAGCTGTTACCCCGTAAGGATGCTATTATGGAAACCAACTCTGAAAGTAGCAATGCCTGTGAGGGACCACAGTGGTAGTTGTTGTGGTTGATATGAAGCTACTATGTTTTCAAATGTTAACTGTTTGCTTCCCAAGTTCCTTAGGAGCAAAGCCTCACGTATCCTCACGTATCCAAAACCTTGCTTTCCAAATTGTCCCTGATTGGTGAATAAAGTGCCTACACCTGGGCTGGGCAGGAAGAGGTAGGCGAAGCCTAGGTTTGAGGGCTTTTGGGGGATTGCAGAAGGACCAGGAGGGGGTCAGGGAGGAGAAAGAAAAGAAGAAGCAGGTTGCCATGGGTCAGGGTGAACCAGGAATATGTGGCCAAAAGCAGCTCGCTCTGAGGACTGGCCGAATGGAACAGGAACAGCTCAAGTGGAACCTGTGCAAGCATTTGATGGGGCTTTTAGATGGAAAATAGACAAGCTAGCTTAGAGGGGTAACATCTTCCCAGCCCCAGGCATATTAAGGCTTATTAAAAATCTAACAGGTTTCTGTGCCCATTTATTTCTAATACAGCGGGTTAAGGGATAACTGTCACCCTAATCGTCATATAAATCAATATTGAACGTTAGTAGCCACTTTTTTTTTTTTCCCCCACAACAGGTAGTGATGGTGAGACACAAACTCTGCTTTTACTTTAAGGCAGTAGGGAAGTGAGGGATGCTAACCGGGGAATGGGCTTTAAACGTTGACGGGATAAACTTAAAGTATCTGTTACACACCCAAGTGGACTGACACCCAGGGGAGAGGTTGGGCTGGAAGGAGGTGGATCTTGGTTCTTCTGGGTGAGGGTCTGTGCTCTGCTGTGGTGAGGCAGGCGAGGATCTGGGCTCGCTTTGAAGACACTCCCTTCCTGCTGGTGGTCCATGAAATAAACTAATTAACCAGCAAGGCCATTCTGAAAGGTCCTTTGCTCTGCTCCCCAACTGGAACACAGTGTACAATGGCCATGTTTCTTCTATTTTTTCCTTTTGTACGGTATTAATAACATGATTTTTACACAGCTAAAAACCTTTACACTAGTAGAAGGTATCTGAATGCAAAGCAATGCACTCAAAATGGGTTGATTTCATCCTTTCAGCAAACATTTTAATACTCTTTCAGAGATGTAACACAGAGAGGAAAAAAAACATACATAAAAAGCCTCTAGATTCAAGATGCTTATGGTGGCCTAAATATCTCGATGTTGTGTCGTATGATGTAATACGACATGCATTTGAATGCAGGATTATACCAGGAAAAATGGGCATAGCCATGAAACTGGATTCATTTAGAATATATTAAAAAAAAAAAAAACTTAAAAAAAAATTTGCCTGCATGTGTGCCTGTATGCCAGTAGAGGGCACCAGATTTCATTATAGATGGTTATGAGTCATCATGTGGTTGCTGGGAATTGAACTCAAGACCTTAAGGAAGAACAGCCAGTGCTCTTAACCTCTGAGCCGTCTCTGCAGCCCCTAAAGACATCTTTTAAGATTGCTCAGTGGGTGGAGGTGCTTGCCACTAACCCTGACTACCTTGGTTCCATCGGGGGAAGAAAGGACCAACTGCTATGGAGACCAACTGCTAAGAGAGTGTCATGAATGCCTGAGCTGGGTGCTGGGACCCTAACGCCACCCTCTGCAAGAGCGGTGTGTACCCTTAATTGCTGAGCCCTCTCTCCAGCCCCAAGCTGAACATTGTAAATGTTGACACAAAACATGCTTTACAATTTCTTGCAACTTAAAATCGCCGGTAACTCCCAGGTGCAATGTAGATGGCTTTAATGCCGGCACTGGGGTGTCAAAGGATCTCTGTGAGTTCAAGGCAACTCCCTGGTCTACACAGTGAGACCCTGTATCAAACCAAAACAAATTCCCGTAACTGAAGAATCCAAACCGGTTCTGTTGAGCAAATGCCATCTAGATGGAGATTCTGCTTTGACCAGTTTCTGGAGTGGATACCTTTACGTCTCAAACCAGGGATAAATGGCTAACTGGGTTGCCTATTTAACTTAGGAAAGTGGACCTGGCTGCTAGGCTCTCCTGGCATCCCTCAGTCCCTGCCTGTTACAGGGTTTGCCTCCCCCTGAACTCTCCTGCCCAGGCGCTGGCTGCCCTTCTGGGGCTCTTCCCTATATAATCCAACCATTTTGGCTCCACTAATCCGCTGGTTTCCTCCATCTCTTCTCTCTCCTCCTCACTCTCCTCGTAAGACCTGGCTCAGGGTCACGTTCACCCTGAATTCTCCCAGATGTCTCTGACTCTGGCTGTGCCCTCTCTTTTATCTACAATAAACCTCCTCCACCATACCTGGGAACAGTCATGTCCTTTCCTTTTCCTTTCTTTCTTTCTTTCTTTCTTTCTTTCTTTCTTTCTTTCTTTCTTTCTTTCTTTCTTTCTTTCTTTCTTTCTTTCTTCTTCTTTTTTTTTTTTCATTCAGATACCTCAGGCCAGAAATAAACCTCTGTCTGCAAAGAGCTCAGTTTTAAATAGGAGCGTGACCATTGCCCAGCATGTCTGAGGCCTGAGGTTCAATCCATGGCACCACCCCCAAACAAAAGCCCTCACCTGTCTACTGGAGCGCTCTACAGTCAACTGAATGGTTGAGGAATGCACATAAACAGACTAAGTTCACGTAGCACAACTTCTTACTCAAATTCTCAAACTGCTGGTGCAGGCAGAGATATCCAGAACCCAACCTCTGATATTCCTCATGAAATAAGGATTCATCGGAATTCTGGTGCTTTATTGTCCACTGCTGTTTTTAATATTTGGGATATTGGGGGCGCCAGAAGCTCCGCGCAATCTGGGCGGGTCAGGTGTCCCCAGAGTCGCAACCTGAACCTCCAGGTTTGCAGCGCAGAGACAAGGCAGCGCGGCGTCCGTGGAGATGGACGCGAAGAGCCCCTGCGCACGCGCACTCCAAGAAGCCCAGGGCACCCGAGCTGGGGCGGGGCGAGCTCGGAGTGCGCCTGCGCCCTGCGCCCTGCGCCGAGCGAGCCGCAGTCCCTGGAACGCCGAGGTGTTTCGGTCGCCTGCGGCCAGCGTCGCCCGCAAACCCGGGGTTGTTGGGCTGCATCCCGAGCGGGGACGTTGGCGGAGCACGGGGCGCGGCCACCATGCCGGTGAGGACGGCCACTCGGCCGCTGGGGCTCCGGCTCATCGTGGCGGCCCTGCTCGGGGGCGCGGCCGTTGCCATAGAAGCGCGCGGCGGGCGGGCGTGGCCGCGAGGCCCGGGAGGGGACAGGGCGGCGGGGCTGGGGTCCAGCGGGCGTCCGGGGGCGCCCGGGACCCGCCCTGTCGCCGCCCCGCCCCGCGCTGCCTCCCACCGGGCCTGCGCTGTCCGACGGGAAAGCGCGGCGCGGGCAGCGGGGGCTTGGTGGCTGCGCGCGGCCGCGGGGGTCGTACGGGGTGCCCGCGCCCCTAGAGCCCCCGCCCTGGCCTCCCGTTCCCGGGGTGTAAGCTGTCATTCCCTTGGGGGCACTTTAGCTTATGGTGCAGAGTGTGACCCATAGGTGTCTTTGTGTGAGTACGCGGTGGCGATTTGGTTACCTCCTAGGGTTTCACGGATTGTTATCGTGCCATAATAAGGGGGTGATTTTAAGTCCCATTGGAGAAGACTCGAGCCACGAAAGGTTATTTATTGGTTATGAGGCCTCTGACGGTTATTCAAATTGCCTGGACCCTTAGTTCCCACACAATTAAACTTTTCTTCTTGGGGTTTTTATCAAGGCGAAATAAAACAATGCACAGGACACCTCAAGGACTTGGCATTTAACACAGAATGCTCAGTGTTTGTTTCTATTCATTACCTGCAGGGTATTCGATAAATATTGGACACTAGCCTTATATATATGTGTGTTGGTTATATAGGTGGTAGGGTTGGTTGAGCGAAACTTGCCAGTTTTTGTGTCTTTATTTTTACTTTATGTGTTGCATGAGCGTTCGCATGCGTGTATGTGCACCACGAGCCAGGGGAAGGAAGAAGACGGCGTGGGACCTCTTGGAACTGGAGTTATATATAAGCAGTTGTGAGCTGCCATGTGGGTGCTGGAAACCCAGCCCAGGGCCTCTGCAGGATTAGAAAGTAAAGTGCTCTTGACTACTGAGCCACCTCCCCAGCCCCCATTTGCCAGATTTTTGACTTGGGAGAAAGAGAAGCTTGCCTTTTGAGGCAGAGGTGAAAGCCATACATAGTAACAGAGAAAAGACAGTCTTAATAAATGAAGTGGGTAAGTGGCATATGATAGAAGTGGGCTCTGGTGAACTGGAAAATGCTGGCCTACGGATACCAGATCTACTTTTCAAGAGACTTAAGTTGCTATATTTGTAGAGTTTCTCAATTTTAGCAGCTGATTAAAATACTGAAAACTACTGTGAGCCAGCTGGCCAGCATTTTGAAAGGCTGAGGGAGGAGGAGGATAAAAAGAGTTCAAGGCTAGCTAGGCGGTGATGGCACCTTTAATCCCAACACTTGGAAGGCGGGGGCAAGTGGATCTCCATGAGTTCGAAGGTAGCCTGGTCTGGTCTACAGAGTGAGTTCCAGGACAGCCAGAGGTACACAGAGAAACCCTGTCTGGAGAGAGGGGGAGAGAGAGAGAGAGAGGAAAAAAAAAAAGAGTCCTTGACTTCTTGATAAGTTCCAAGCTGCCTGAGACCCCAGTGTCTGAACAAAACAAAAATACTCTGGACCAAATGAAAGAATATTATGGGCTGAATTCAGCCTGTTGACTACTTGTTCTGAGCTCAGGTGAATAGAATGACAGATATCAATCAAGGAGCAAAGGAGTAAAATTGTATCCTTTAAAAGCAGGATGTGCTGCTCTCTCTTTCTCTCTCAGAGTCTATTAAAAAAAAAAAAAAAAACCGTTTGACCTAGTCAGAGAAGTGTTCCCATAGGAAGTGGCTGCTGAGCTGAAAACTGAAGGATAAATAAGTGAAGGAGGACATGAGGAATGTTCTAGGCAGAAGGAAAGCCAGGGTGAAGAAGTGGGCATTAGAAAAGATCACGAAAGTCTGCTAAGAGGAGCCAGAGTATTTGGTGACGCCTACAGGCATTTCTAGACCACCTTAACATTTTTATTTTTAATATCTGTCATCTGTGGGAGATTTTCACATTGGAGAGTAATGTGGTTTGGTTTGTGTTTACACCACCATGTAAGAGGACAGACTGAAGGGCAGTTTAGTTAGATTTAGGAGCATAGTTAGGAGACTAATTCAGGGCCCAGGTAATATGCCAGAGCCTAAGGTGATGAAGGCCAAGCTGGGGAGAAGCATATTGATAGTAATGGGACTGTTTGGACTTAATTTCCTAGCCATGTAAAATTTTGAAAATCAAAACTTTATACAAATGTTCCTAAGACATTTTTCTCTGTATGTCATTGTCCTTAACTTACTGTTGTGCAGAGAAGGTCATGTATAGATGTGTCATGATAAAAATTTCATAAATGCATTCTAGAAAATGAAATAAGCTGTCCTGGGAGAGCAAAGGCCCTCAGACATGGTTGCTTTGTTTTGAGACAGGGTCTCACTGTATTACATAGGCTGGTCTCAGACTCACCGAGGAACACGGGCCTCTTTTCTCTCTCTTTTGTACTGCAAAAGAGACATTTTCTCATTGCATCCTAACAAACCCTTCCTGTGTGTGTAGAGATCTTTCGTCGCATTTGACAGAGACTTGTGAAGTCCTAACACATTCAGGGTGCTGAGGTGGAAAAGTCATCTTTTCCAGTTACAAACTTAGGACAAAAATGAATGTTCTTTCTGTTCTTTGTAAACCTTGTCTCCATCAGATCAATAAATCTGAGAAGCCCGAAAGCTGCGATAATGTGAAGGTTGTTGTGAGGTGCCGGCCCCTCAACGAAAGAGAGAAATCAATGTGCTATAGACAGGCCGTCAGCGTGGATGAGATGAGAGGCACCATCACTGTCCATAAGAACGACTCTTCCAACGAACCTCCGAAGACATTTACTTTTGATACTGTTTTTGGACCAGAAAGTAAACAGCTTGATGTATATAACTTAACTGCAAGACCTATTATTGATTCTGTTCTGGAAGGCTACAATGGTGAGTGACTATGCGGCTTACTTAAAAAAAAAAAAAAAACAAACAAAACACCTTTATTATTGTATAGGTGATGCCCAGTACATAGGTAGTCCATGTAATCGCACCTGCAGCTTGATAGTCATGGTAAGCATACACAGTTGTGAGACCTCCCTGAGGTTCTGTTTTGGAATGCTGGTGGCATCCTCAGGCATTCCTTTCCACCCTTCTTGCACTCTCCTGCCCTGCATCCATTGACCTGCTCTCGTGTCACAGTCGTTTTGTCTTTTTGAAATCTCACTGAAATGATATCATAAGATGCTACCTTTTTGTTTTTAAAGATTTATTTTTATTTTACGTGTATGAGTATCTTGCCTTCACGTAGGTCTGTGCGTGCTCTGCATACATACAGTGCTCATGGAAGTCAGAAGAGGGCAGGCGGTTCTGGGGCTGGAGTTACAGATGGTTGTGAGCCACCCTGTGGGTGCTGGGAATACAACCTAGGTCCTCTGGAAGAGTAGCCAGTGCTCTTAACTGCGGAGCCATCTCTCAAGCCCATAAAATGCAATTTAAAAAAAAAAAGCCGTTTTCTTTCTCTTTGTGTAATGTTTTTGGAGTTTACTGCTCTTTTCATGTTAATACTTTGTGACTTACCAAGAAAAAAAAGATTTATTTGTTATTTTATTTGTACAATTGAGCGTTTGCCTCTATGTATGTGCACCATGCGCATTGCTGGTACCCTCAGAGGCCATAAGAGGTCGTTGATTTGTGAATCACCAATTGGGTTTCAGGAGCCTCACTTAGGTCCTCTGAAAGAGCAGCAAGGGCTTTTAACCACGGAGCCATCTCTCCAGGCCTGACCTACTGTATGCTTTTTATTTTGCTTTTGGTTTTTCAAGATGGTTTCTCTCTGTAGCCCTGACTGTCTTCTGTAGACCAGGCTGGCCTCAAACTCAGAGATCTTCCTGTCTTCCTGCCTCTGCCTCCCCAGTGCTAGGATTAAAGGTTTGCACTACCATCCTTGGCTTATCTCGTGATTTTATTCTTTTTAAATTGTGTCCCTTTATTGAGACATGGTCTCAAATAGCCCAGGTTGACATTGAACTTGTTAGTAGTTGAGGCTAGCCTTGCACTGATTCTTAAGCATCCACATTTCTGAATTGCATTGTACTGTAAGTATGTAACACCCTGTCCATTTATCAGTTGATGGAAGTCTAGACTTTTTGCTAAGATAAATAATACTGCTTTAATTCTTGGTAAGGATGTAAAGTTTGTCTTGGATAGCTACCTAGAAATTAGATTGTCAAATGGTAAGCACATAGACAGATTTAGACATGTATATAGATACCAAGTTGTTCCAGCACTGTTTAGTGCTGGTGGCCTGTGCCTTTGATCCCAGCACTTGGGGGTGGAGATCTCTGAGTTTGAGGCCAGCCTGGTCTACAAAGCAAGTTCCAAGAGAGTCAGAGCTACATAGAGAAACCCTGTCTCAAAAGACAGAAAGAAAAAGAAAAATCCACAAAACAAAACCAATAAGTCATTCCTTCTTTTGATATTGAATTGGCTTTTGGGGGGGTGGGGTGTCAAAACTCTGCTGACAGAGGTGTGTATACTTACTTTTCGGACTGCTTGTTCTGTCCGTGTAGAGTCTGCCTTGATGGCCGTAGCTTTGTAGTGTGCTGTTGAAGTTAGGTAGCAACTCTGAGCTGGCAACCATTCTCCAACTTGGCTGGCTTTCTTTTTTGTCTGTTAGTTTCCATAATTGGTTTTTTCCTTTGTATTTTCATATAGATTTTATAACTACCTTAGCAGTTTCCATAAAAATCCCTTTTGGGCTATTGATCACAGTGTGTTGAATTGCTCTGTTGACGCTTTTGAGTCTTCTTTTTCATTAACATTACTGTTTATGTCTTGCTTAATTAAACTCTTTCACTTCTTTTAATAGTCTTCACATTATTCTTATGAACTTAAAAAGTTACATTTACTTACTTAGGTGAGGAAATTTGTGCGATGGCATTTGTGTAGCGACCAGAAGACAGCTTGGGAAAGTGGTTTCTGGCTTTCCACCATGGGATTCCAGGGTTTGAACTCAGGTGTCAGGTCTGGTGGCAAGTGTCTTACCCGCTCAGCCATCTCTCTCTCAGCCCACTTCTCAGCATTCTGTGGCGAATAGAATTGTTTGCATAATTTTATATTGATATATATATTTTTTATATTGTATATATTGCTAATATACAGAAATGTATTTGATTTTAAAGTAATTTTTCTTACTAGATAAAATTGAAGTGACATAAATCCACTCATCATTGGACAGTATAGGATTCACACGTTTTTCAGTGGATCACAGTGTGCAAACTGTCACCACCACCTTTGTTAAGATTGTTTGCAGCAACCCAGGAAGCAGTCTGGATCTCGTTTTCAGCCACTTCAGTCCTCTTCTCGCATGACTGCTCTGTTGGAGTTTTCCTGCTCTGGCATGTCTTGGAAAGAGGCTCACATACCACAGTGTCCTTTATCTGGCTTCTTTCATCTAGCACAGTGTTTTTCTGTGTTCTTATTGTAGACTGTATCAGCATTCATTCTTTTCATGAGCAAATACTATTCCTTTGTGTAGATGCATTTTGTTTGGACATTCACAGTTGAACATTTGGGCTGAGGAATAATGTTGTTTTGCATATTCTTGTACAAGCTTTTAACTTTTTCCTGAACATACACACCTAGGAGAAGAGTTGCTGAGTCATGGGGTAACTTTCTTTGACCAACTGCCAAATGGTATTTCTAGTGTCGTCACCATTTCACATTCCCACCAGTGATATGAACGTTCCAAGTTTCTCCGTTCCTTTGCCAGCATCTGTTACTGACATTTTGGTAGCATCATCCTAATGGCTGTTTCATGACTTGCAGTTGAATACCTTGTATCTGAAACCTTACTAAACTTAATAATTCTTGTTGATTTTAGTGTTTTTCCCTCGGGCAGGAGGTGGAGATCAAATTCAGACTCTTAATACTTAAAAAAAAAAAAAAGTTCTCCAGGATTTTCTACATGCATAATTGTATTGTCTGCCTGTAAAGACAGTTTTTACTTTTCTTTCCAATCTTTTGCCTTTAATGTACTTTCTTGCCTGATTCCCTGGCCAGAAACTCCAATAAATGTAGAACATAATTGGAGAAAGTGGACATTGTGGTCTTGCTTCTGATCTTGGGGAAAATGTACTTATTCTTTGATTGGTGAACTTAGTATTCGCTATAGATAGAAATGTTCTCAGGCAGACTGAGGAGGTGCCTTTCTTCTAGTTCAGTTTGCTGACAGTTTGTTTGTTTGTTTGTTTGCCTTTCTTTCTTGCAGGAGTGTATATTTCATTTTTTCAAATGTAGTTTTTTTGTTATTAGGTTTTTATAAGTGAAACCAGCTTTGTCACTTAATCATGGATTTTTGTTCTTTTTCACATATTGTTACATTTGATTTGCCAAGTTTTTATTTAAAAATTTTGCACCTGTGTTAATGACAGATATAAAACCACAGTTTTCTGGAAATGTCTTTTGCTAGTTTGATTATCAGAATAATGCTAGTTTTCTTTTTTGGTCTTTGAAGACAGGGTTTTTCGGTGTAGCCCTGGCTGTCCTGGAACTCACTCTGTAGACCAGCCTGGCCTTGAATTTACAAGGATCCGCCTGCCTCTCCCTATGAGTGCTGGGGCTAAAGCTGCTAGTTTTCTTAAAAGACTTATTTTTAACTGTGTGTGTGTGTGTATGTGTGTGTGTGTGGGGGTATGTGCTGGTGGAGGTCAGAAGGTGTTGGATCCCCTGGAGCTGGAGTTACAGACGGTTGTCAGCTGCACAGTATAGATGCTGGCAGTGGGACATGGCTCCTCTGCCATCTCTCCGGCCTCTAGTTCTCCAATAACCTCCAATTATGATTAGTCCCTTTTTAAACTTTTAGTAGAACCTGTGTAGAATTGATATTGTTCCTCAGACACTGGAGAGCACTCATCAGTGCTGCAGCTGGGTGCAGCCCTCTCTGTAGGTAGGCTGGTAAGCTCTTCAGGTGCAGTTACGCAAGTGGGTCCAGGACTTTTCTTCTCTTGAGCGAGCTTCTTGTTTTGTTTTGTTTTGTTTCTGAGACAGAGTTTCTCTTTGTGTAGCCCTGGCTGACCTGGAATTCTGTAGACCAGGCTGGCTTCAGACTCAGAAACCTACCTGCTTCTGCTGCTGCCTCCTGAGCGCTAGGATTAAAGAGGCAGTTGTCATTTTAATCACGAAGTTGTTCTCTGTTCTCATGGCTCCAGGTGTTAGAATGCTCAGTGCTAACCTTTCTCTTCCCCATATGGTGATTCTTTTTCCTGACTAGTTGACAAGATTATACCTTGGATGTTTTTCACTTTTCCTGTGTTGTTTGATGTTTCTGTCCTGTTGCTCTGTTCTGATCTTAATTTCTTCTTTTCTCTGACTTTGGATTTTAATTTGTTCTTTCTCTGTTTTTGTTTTCTGTTTGTTTGAAACAGGGACTTTCTACATTGCCTAGACTGACCTAGAACTTGCTATGTAGAACAGCCTAGCCTGGAACTCAGAGATTCTTCTACCTCTGCCTCCCAAGTGCTGGGGCTAAAGTCATGTACTTGTGCCCAGCCTCTGTTGTCTTATAGTGGGAACAGGGGTCACTGTTTGGAGACTTTTCACCCTTCTGTATAGGAGTTTAGTGATATACCCATATCCATCCCCACATACTGCTTTAGTGTCATCTAAAACATTCAGACCGTGTTTCACATACACCATTCCAGAATGCTTTCTATTCCACTGTGGGTGTGTATGTGCATGTTTACGTGTTTGCAGCTTTATGTGTGTGCCAGTGTGCATGGATGTGTATTGTGCACATTGTTTGAAGGCCAGAGGTCAACCTCGGGCGTTGTTCCTCAGGAGGGATCTCCCTTGTTCTTTGAGACCGAGGCCCATGTAGGCTAGCTTGTGAGCCTCGGGATCCTCCTGTAGACGCCTCCCCAGAGTTTGAATCCAAGCACATGCCACCA